GACAGATGTTGGTTGTGTGGTCCTGTGTTTTCTTGGTGTATATTTAATATACTTCTAATCGCTATTTCAATCTTTCTAATTACTTCTCTCTCTGTTTTTCCCTCTTTCTCTGTTTTCTCTTTACTTAAAGAAAGAAAAAAAAGAAAAGAAACAAGTTGCAAACAGATGTAAAAGAAGCCCCCTTAGTGTTTAATTTAGTTACTTAGACTTATGTATGCTGTCTGATAGAAAAGGTCATGGTTTGGTTGTTTTGCACCTTAAACTAAATAAAAYGAAACACACCTATCAGGTTAAGGATCAAACCGCTAACCAGTTTCCACTGTTTTTTTGTTTTTTTATTATTAGATGTSGGCGTTCAGCTGTGCAAACTTGAGTTGTAGTATAACAAAAATGTTTCTGCTGGAACATTTTTAATTTCTGTATTTATTCATGTATAATATGATCTTGAGTATAATACAATCATAATTTTTTGAGCTTAAAAAGAATAAAAATCTAATCAGCAATAACCCGTGTAAAATACCASTCCACTTTATGGATGATTTTTATGGTTACATTTCTAGTATTATATATGAATAAATACAGTATGTGTTTCTATTATTTGTTTTTAATAAATAATGTAAAAGTACTCCCACCCACATTTCAGCAGAAAGTCTACCTGTCTGCTACTGTTTTGCACAAACACRTGACAAATTGTTGCTCTCAAACCCTTGACAATAAAACATCTAAACAGACAGAAAACTCAGTGTCTTACTTGTTTGTGAAGCTGCACCAGATCAGTTTGAAGCTGCCAGTTTGATCATGTTGTCCTGTGAAAAAAAGCAGATTTGTTTTTTTTCTAGTACCTCACACCAGCCACTGCTACCCAGGTAAAAAACMTAGTTTGAAATAAAAAAGAGAAATGTGATCAGGTTTTTAAGGTTACTCCAATTTGACTCATCTAAATTTCCCTTTTTCTCGTTCGCACCGTTTAATGTCTTTGTAACTGATAGCATGCATTATAAAAATGAAGTACTTTTTTTTTTCTATTTGCCCTTCCCTGATAAAATAGGGAAATTTTAGTATAAAATTATACAGTAACACCTAATGTGAACCTGTTACTCCGACTAGAACAGGAAAAAACAAGAAGCCCACATTGTGGTCAGGCCCACATAGGTACAAGCTGCTGCTGCTGCAGCCATTTTTTATTATTATTTTGCAAATTTGTAATTTATGATTAGAATTGAGATTTTGCAACCTGAATATAGTCCTGCGTGCTTTCCTGCTCATTAGTGAACACATGCACACATTCAAATTTAAATTAGCGAGAAACTGATGTTTAATAAGTTTATTTGCGTGTGGGTTTCCCCCTTTGATCTATTCATTTTTGATGGCAAACATTGAGCTAATACATCAACTTGTCTTTCATTGCAGCTGGATCACAGTGACATTTAAAATGTGTCACAAACAAGATTACATTAAATGTGTGTGAGAGTGGTCATGACGTATTTTATACTGGGTTCAGGTCATATGGCAGTAGTTTGACAAAAAAGAGCCCTAAGACAGCTTCTCTCATGCAAAATAACACTATTTATTTATTTATTTATTTATTTATTTATTTATTTATTTATTTATTTAT